TTTGGTGGTAAATGTCCCCAAACTAACCAAAATATCGAAATTCGGGAGGTATCCTTATAATATTTGGTAAGAAGATTTTCTAACCAATGAGAACACAAAAATATCAAATTACAGCTAATTCGGTTGAAAAATACAGAATATAAGGTGTGGACCCTTATAAAATTATTAAAATAGGTCCATTTTGTGATATATCGCCCATAAAAATGTCCCTACAAATTTTCGGCGTTTTGAAGAGTTTAGCCCCACTTTCTGTAATTTGATATTCCATTTTAAAAATACCCCTGTAGGAAATGTCAATAGTGAAACCCTATTGAAACTTAAGGTATTTTCCTATAGACATTTTATATGAACGTGTCATTCGAAAGTCGATAGTGACATAGGGATGAAAGAGAAGAAGAAGCACATTGTAAATATGAAAAAGCTTCTTCTAATTAAAGTAAAGCTTATTCTTCTTAATATAATTGACAGAATGTTGACAACATCGTTGGAAAAGTGTTGACAATATCCACATACTTGTAGACAAAAGTATTGACATGACCACCATCGTCCCCATGTTTCCTTCAGGGACGCATTGAATATCATTTTTAACAAAATTTTTCAAAACCATCATCACATGCGCTACTTAATCCGACATTACTGTGTAAACAATTATTTTAGTATGTACGTACATACAGGGTGTATTTTTATTGTTGTTTCTTCAGTTTTTTATTTAATTTTAAAATTATTTTGTTGTTGTTTTAGAAAACCAACAAACATCTCGGATATATGTACGTGTGAAGATATATTTTCCCTTCCCAAAAAAATCTAGGCACAAAGCCAAATTTTGTTTTTTTTTTTCGACGTTAAACATTTTTTTATCTTTGGCATGATAATCATCTTGTCTCGCTTGAAATAAATTAGAATGGTGTAGGGGGGCTTTGAGCGACGAGCGAAAATAAAAGATATAGCTATTGACCATGTTGTTTTATTGCTGGTATCTCATACATCAATTTGGACGTACGAGATGCCACTATCAGCCACCTTAGAAACCAACGAAATGTGCCACAAATGTTATCTTGAAATGTTCTAGGGATCGAAAAGACAAGATCTCAAAAGATGTGAGAAAAAGTCATCAGCAATGGGGGACAGGCAGCATCCATCCTATGTATGTAGCATGTTATGCGGAAGCAGCAACAAATGACAAAGACTTTTTTGTGTACGAAATTGAAAATGATCAAACAAACGAGATAGCAGGCGGTGGGGTAGAAACTTTCACTTTCTTGAGAATAATAGTATTTGGCACAGTGGAACTAAAATGAACTAAAAATTTAAATAATCCTTAAGGCTAATAACAGCATTTAAAAATTTAATAATTTATGCATTTCATCTAATTAACGGTTTTATGTCCCAAGCGATTGTCACACTAAAGGGACAATATTAAGAACAATTTTGCGATCTAACTGTTAAATCGAGCTCAAAATACTCGGAATCCTATGCTAAATCGAGATAATTTCAAATACAACTCTGTTTTATGCTCCAAATATAGCGTTTCTCCTTAAAGTATGCTTTAAAATTAGTTAATATTCAAAATAACTATTTTACAAAAATGTGTCAGCTGATGAAAACTTTTTTTTTGCATTTTTGATACAAAATACAAAGAATTTTTTTATGTATTTCTGAAACCCACTAAGTTAACGAAATCCTGTTAAATGTAAACGTACTAAAAATTATAAAATTATTAATTGAAAAATTGCCACAGAAATTGTGAAAGCAGTGAAATGTTTATGTATGCGTAAACAAATAACAGCTGACAAAAACACAAATCGAGTCGTTTTTACATGGTATAAACGCGTCTTAAAACAGGATTTACCTTAGAACTTTTTTCCGGGTTAACCTCTTCAATGAGGATTTATTTGACATTTATGTAATGGAATAGACAATTTAGATCTACTGGATTTAATAAATCAATGTAAACGTACTATTAGTGCTCTGAATTATTGTTAATGTAAACCTACAATAAATCTGAAGATGGAGCAAATCGATCCTTTTTCCTGACATGATCATACATGATTGTTTTAAAATATATTTAAAAAACTCAATATGAAATGTTGATATATATATATATATATTTTTTTTTTTTACCCCATTGTGTGTAACATATTTTATACGTATGTACCAACAACAATTAACAGGCAGCCTATCTACGCAAGAGAACCAAAACTAAAATAGCCAAAACTTAAAAAACCACACCATGGATGAATGGAACAATGAAAACGAATAACTTATGGATATCACTAAGCAAAAGCAGGGTGGTATTTTATTTTGTTGTCGCTGTCAGGGACAATTAAATTGTTCTTTTAGCTGGCTTATGGGACTTGTCCAATATCGTCACAGAAAAATATATCTGCAACAACAACAACATGAGGAACAATAGCAGCAACATTATGTTATGCCATATTTATATTTTAATATTTTTTGTTGATCGGTTTTTTTATTTCTACCCCTCCTATTTGACGTCAATGTTACAGAGGAAAAACCAAAAAAACAAAAATCTTCCTAAAAAGAAGATTTTTTTCCTAAAAAGATAAACAATATTTAAAATATTGTTGTCAGCCTTTAGTTTTAACATTTTCTTAAAGAAAATAACAAAAAGCTATTAATTTTTTCACAATTCCAAAAAGAAACGATATGCAAAATTAAATCCAATGTTAATTTTATACCTTATATCCTAAGGGAGTGTTTAGACTATAGATTTTATTTTGATGTACATTATCATTCAATATCTTGATTTGAAATGAAATCCTATAGACTCGTTTGAATTGAATTGCTAAATCGAGCTCGCGTTTAGACCACAACTTTTATCGTTATAAAATCCACTTATCTCGATTAGCTTGAAATCCTGGACTAAATCGAGATAATTTCAAATGCATAAAAAAATAAATAAAGGTGCCTCCCTAAAGTATAATTTAAAATTAGTCAATATTCAAAATATAATAAATATAGCAATTTATATTAAATATAGCTATAATAAAGCATATAACAGCAGACAAATCCACTTTATTTAATTTTAATACTAGTCTAAATAGCTAGGATTTCGCACCTCGATTTACAAATCAAGTCGATTTAGATGGCATAGTAGCCTCAAATCAAAATAATTTCAAATACAACCCTGATTTTGCACAAAAACCAATGACTTATCCTTAAAGTATGCTACAAAATACGTTACATTTAAAATATAGTTGCCTACTAAAAAATAAAACAGCTGATTAACAATTGAGATGTTTTTTTTAATTTATAATAAATATTACTATAAATTAAAACAACAAATGTTATGTATTTCTGAAAGTAATTCATAATAGTTACCGGATTTCGTTAACACAGTGGGTTTCAATTGTCAATTCCTTTGGTTAACCCGGTAAAAAGTTCTAATGTATATGCCGTCCTGATTTAGATTAGGCGAGTTTAATTGCGGCAATTCTTATCGTTTTCTTTTGAACTTACTTCATGCGTATATACAAGGTTTCAAAAATATTTTTTTTTTTGATATTTTGTGACAATGTTCTGGATTGCTATTTCAAATTACTGACACAAACGAATTATTTTTTTTCAATTTCTATTCCCCTTGCCCCTCTCGCCTCCAAACAAAGACTTGCCGCTAGTAAACTCGCCTAATCTAAATTGGGACTAATAAATTATGAAAATATAGATTAAAAAATTGGCACAACTTTTATAATTGTATATGCCGTTTAATAAATTATGATAATATAGATTAAAAAATTGGCACAACTTTTATAATTTTAATACTTGTCTAAACAGTTAGGATTTGATATCTGGATTTAGAAATGAAGTTAATTTAGAAGGCTTAGACTAAAGGCGCTCGATTTGCTCCAAATGCTTTTGTCCCAAAACAAAACGAGTCGATTTAGAAAGCACAGTCTAAACGCGATTTGAAAGCGTAATTTCAAATACAACTCTGTTTTTGCACCAACAATTTAATCATTTCTCCTAAAAGTATGCTTCAAAATACAGTAAAATCCAAAATAGATGCACAAAAAATATGACGGCTCCTGAAAAGTTAAAAAATATAATGAATATTAATTTTATTTAAAACAACAGCTGCAAATGTTTTTATGAATTTTTGACCAACTGGAGAGCATCATCAAAATTATGCAAACATTGATTGACTGCCAATTTTAAACCATTTTAATATTAATAGGTCTGAATCCTCGTATATGTTTCACCCTTTAAATACAATTAGGAAATATGTATTTTTTATCATAAACCGACATCCGTCTATAATTAATTTTGATGTTTCGTGACAACTGTTTCCTTCCATTTTGTCTTTACCAAAAAAAAAGAAACAAGGGAAAAAGTCATGGCCCAAGACCTTTAAATGTTTTTGCATGACATTTATTGTCATTTCATGATTGCATGCTTGTCAAAAGTTTGTAATTTTAATAATTTTGTAGTTTCCTGCCTACAAGCAGATAATACATACATATATATTTGTTTACAATATTAAACAAATTAGGCTAGGTTAGGTTGAAAAGAGGGGTGGTTGACACCACCACGTGTCCAAAATTAATTGTTCATAGTTTTTTTTGATTAACTTTTCTATTTATATCAATCATACAAATAATTATTTTTATTGTTTTTATAATTATTTATAGAATTTTTTATAAATGAAAAAGGACCTAGTTTTTAATAGCAGATCGGACGGATCAATATATGGAGGAGTTATGTCCTAATTTGAATGGATTCCAACAAAATCTATATCCAATTCGTTATGCTGTGCAAATTTTAAAGCATACTTTAAGGGTCAGCTATTATTGTTTGGTGCAAAAACAGGGTTGTATTTGAAATTATTTCTATTTAATGAGTGGTAAATCAAGATAAATTCAGCTCACATTAAGCAATTATAAATATATATGTTTATATGGGGGTCACTGTGACACATTTTGAAATCGATTCCTATTTTTTAAATTTTTTTCTAATTAATATCTTTTTTTTCTACATTACAGTGTTGAAATTGGTGAATCTGTGCGCGGTGAAGATGTGTACATTGTACAATCTGGTTCCGGTGAAATTAATGACAACTTGATGGAATTGCTGATCATGATCAACGCTTGTAAGATTGCTTCAGCATCCCGTGTAACAGCTGTGATTCCTTGTTTCCCATATGCCCGCCAAGATAAAAAAGACAAGGTATGTTAAAAACAAAAGACAATTTGGCACACTTTTTTAATTTAAAACAAAAAATAAATAAAAAGAGAAAATATACAAAAACCAAAAACTCAAAGAAACGAAAAAAGGTTAAACCAAACAGGCAAATTGAATAGTGAAGAGTGGAAATGGTTGTTTTTATTTTTTTTTTATTTTGAAATTGTATTGCTATTATTATTTTTTTGAAAACGAAATCTATACTAAAAACAAAACAGAAAAATCAAAGCTTTATTGTTTTGCATTTTGTTGATGTTTTACATTTTGATGTGATTTTATTTATTTACTATTTGATTGTTGTAATTTTTTTGATTTTCTGTGTTCTTTCTTTGGAAATCTACCATCTTATGGACAAAAATTGAAATCGTCAAAGAAAAAAAAAATATGTTTTTTTTCTTAACTGGGGGATAATTTTGAAGTTGAAGTTGTGTATTAAAAGTGTAAAAAAACTATACTCTCTCATTTGTTTAATTATTATTAAATTATTTGATTTTCTTTAGCTGGCCGGCTCTGATGATGGCGACGTTAAGCTCCGTTGTAAGAACTACGATTGGAAATTTAGGGTATTTACTTCGTTCTAGTTTCAGATTATAATTTATAATTTGTTTGTTTTCTTTTTCATTTTTTATGTTTAACGATGGGTGAAAAAACAAATAAAACAAAGTATTCACATTAATTCATAATATTTGTAATAGCAACAAAGATTGTTTTTTTGAAATAACAGAATAATATAAATATTAAAACATAAGATTTGTTTCTTTTTCTAATTTTTAAGCATATTTTGTACAATTTAAAATAATGGAAAAAGGGATTCTGAAATGTTTTTCACAAATAAATTGTGTTTTTTTATTAGTGAATAAAATTTTTATGTTAACAATATTATCAAGAATTAGATTTTTAAAATTTTCAAAAATGATCAAATATTTTAATATTTAAAAAAATATTTTTTATTAAAATTTATTTATTTATTTATTATTATTTTAAATACAAATTTATTAATAAAGTTTAAAAAAATAAATAATTTAATTTTTATAATTGGTATATGTTAATACAATTTTCAATAATTAGATTTTTGTAATTTTTTGAAAAAAAAAAAAATTCTGTTTTTTATTAGTAAATTTAATTTTATGTTAACAAAATGTCCAAAAATAAAAAATTTTAAATTTTCTAAAAGAAAAAATATTTTAACATTTTTTGTATGACAAAAAATATGTTTTTTTAAAAAATATATTACAATACAAATTTATTAATAAAAAAAAATAATAATAAAAGTTTTAATATTTTAGTTTTAACAAAAATTTTTAACGATTTTGTTTAAACAATTTTTTTCATTTTACTATTTTTGTTTAAACAAACATATTTTATTTATTATGTCAATATATTTTTCAACTTTATGATTACATATTTCAGAATCCTGTTTTATTCTAATTTTAAAATCTTGGTTTATCTAAAGTTTTATGTTTTGTGTCGCCACTTTAAAGTAACATTGCATGTTGAGTATTTCGTTTTTAATAATAATTTGTATGTATTTTAATAAATATAGAATATTTTTTTGCAATGAAATGCACCTAAAATAATAATAAAGAAAATTGATAAAAAAATCTTTGTACAAAATTTGCTTAAAATTCGACACCATTGGTATTATAAAGTTTTAGTTGAATAAAAAAAAAAAAAAAAAAAATAGTCCATCCATACATGAAATCACAACAATTAGCTTCAAAATTATCTTTTCAAAATAATACGACGATATTTGAATTTATATTATTTCGATTTTCTTAAGTTCAGCAGCTTCATTGCAATTTTATTACAATTACAACAATTTGTATTCACATTTTTATATAAGATTTGTAATCAATATTTTTTGGTGAACAAATATATGTATATTGTTGTTGTTTTATATATTTAAGAATTATGGTATTATATTATTTTTTTAATCTCTCATTTATATTCAAAATTTTAACTGATAAAGAAAAACTCTCTCACACACACATTTCTGAATTATTATTTAGTTTTAATAATAAATTTGTGTTTATGTTTGTCAATTTGTTGTCCTATATATTTATATGTATATTGTCTCTTGTTTGTACAATCAATTTCATTTATTGTTATTGAATTTTGTTTTATAATTATATTTCATTATAATAATTATCAGTATTAGTTATTTACATGTATGTAAGGTCAAGGGCAGCGAGTGAAATATACATATCACCAGGAAGAAAAACAATTTTAATATTTAAACTAAATTAAATAATTTTTCTAATACCTACAATGCAAGGGATTCGAGAAATCCTAATCCGAATAAATTCAAATCTCTTGAAATGGTGGAATATTAGCCCTCATTTTTAAGCTTCAAACGTAAATTTCCTAAACGCCCAGCTATCATATTTAGAATTTCACGATAATTATTAAAAAAAAATGAAATTTGTTATTGATTATAAAATATTTTTTTTTTTTTAATAGTAAATATTTATTTAGATTGCATTAATTTTTTATACGTTTCAAAATCATATATCACTTTCTCAATATCAAAATTTGAAAAAAATCAATATACACAGCATCCCCCTCTTGTTCGTGAACTTTTCTCCAAACCCAACATATTCCCGATTTTCGATTTTTCGACATCTTAAAAGAAATTTATAACACTTTATTAACTTTCTCAATATTCAAATTTCAAAATATAAATATACACAGCATCCCCATGTCATTCGCGCACTTTTGTTCAATCCCAACATATTCCCGATTTGTTTCCCAACATATTTCCGATTTGTTTCCCAACATATTCCCGATTTGTTTCTTCAAAAAAAAAAAAAAACTATCTGCAGTTTGTGTTTCACCTCTTTGTTTTTTTTCTTTTCTTTAACTATATCTTTTTTTCTATAGGAATTTTCACCTACACAATATACTGTGAGTAGTTTTAAGGAGAATCTCGCTAAACTATAGCTGAGAGGGAAAAATTATTTTTTGCTTAGTTCTCTGCCCAGAATGACAACAAAATCGATATCCCTAGGGCTTTATTTTGCATATGCCTTTTTTGTTATCAATTACAACTGACTGAGTCTTCTTTTTTTAGTTCTTCTTCTTCTTAGCAAGATTTTTTAAATGATTTAAGAATGTATCCAATTTTTATCACTCCCAATTTGAGTTATCCAACAATGACAAATTGTTTTTGCATGCAATTTTTTCTTATCTATGTCTTCACTCTCTATAAATGCACTTTGAAAATGTATGTATGTATCCTATATACAATGTGATTTTACAAATTTTTTCTTACACCATATAGAATCAAATCCCCCTTTTTCTTGACCCCCACCCCGTTCAATGTTCTGCACATTTATCACAGATTTTGTAAGCCGAATTTTTAAGCACCACGTAATAAAGTTGTTCACCAAAAAAGAAATATTTTTAATTTTTTTATTAATTTATAATTTCTTTTCTTTATGTATTTGTTTTTATTTTTTCAAAAGAAAAAAAAATTAAAAATATTTTTGTGTTTACATAAATAAATTCCATAATCAACAAAATGGGCGTATTTGTTACCTAACATTGTACATCGTCGTCGTTCAATGTCAATTTATCCTCCATTTATCTCACTGGGGCCCATTATCAATAATTCCACATCATCATCTCGTCATCGTTTCCGAAAATTGGTTTATATTCACAACAAAAATATTGTCCTTTGTCATATCATATTTTAAAAGATGCCATTTAATTTAATTTTTTTATATTGAATATGATTTTTATTAGTTTTGGAGTTATTAACCTTTTCAATTTTGCATTTTAATTTTTTCTACAGAGTCGTGCCCCCATTTCGGCGAAATTGGTCGCAAATATGCTATCAGTGGCCGGAGCAGATCACATTATAACCATGGACTTGCATGCATCACAAATTCAGGTAAGTAAAAAAAATACATTTTGTGTTCGTTTAATTTTTTTTTTTTTAATTTTAAGGTATTAAAGCCAGGGTCTATGGGATACATAAGTATATGTACATAGTTTCAGTATTTATTATTCAAATAATAGATGTTGAGACCAAGCCAAATTCAATTAGCAACTCTAATGGTGATTTATACAATTAAAAACATCTTCAAATTTACCCAAGCAAATTCAGTTGAAAAAGGTTCTCAAAATACTGAAATTATGGAGTTGATTTTTTTGTAGAACGATTTCCTACCGAATTCGGTTGAAAACCCTGCATAAACTCCCCAAAATATCGAAAGTTGGGAGGATGTGTTAAATGAGGGCTATTTTAAAAAGTGGACGCCTATTGATAATATTTAGTGGAATGATTTGCTACCCAATGAAACCCAAAATTACCAATTTACGGTCAATTCGGTAGAAATACCTGTCCAAATTACCCGAATTTGGGAGGTTCTGTTATACGAGGTTATCCAAAAAAGTGGACCACTATTAATAATTTTTGGTAAAACAATTTGCTACCCAATCAGAGTTTAAAATGCGAAATTACAACCAATTCGGTATAAAAACGTGTCCAAAACTCCTCAAAATACAAATTATTACAATTTACATGCAGGCTAAAAAAAAAAAAAAAAATTGATCGATGTATCCCATTTTCAATACCAAATACCCTCAGATTATTAGTATATTGCCAAATTGATACACTGTGTAAATTTTCCTGTCAAATATTAGGAGTTTGGTGCATCACTTTCTAAAAATCGGACAAAAATATATATGGGAGCTATATCTAAATCTGAACCGATTTTCACGAAGCTTAGAACAAATCATTCTAGACTGAACTAAGTTTAGAATGATTAGTACGCTATGCCAAATTCCGTGCGAATCGAAAGAATTTTTGGGGCTTTTGTGCACCATTTACATTAAATCGCAAGAAAATATATATGGGAACTATATCTAAATATATTTTTAACAAACTTAAAACACGTCATTCTAGACTCAATTTAGTTCGCTATGCTAAATTTGTTGGAAATCGCAGAAAAATATATATGGAAGACATATCTAAATCTTACCCGATTTTCACAAATCGTAGCACATATTATTTCAGTTCAATTCAGGGTTCGTCCTTGGGCCAAATAAATCAGCTGTACCTAATTTTATCCAAATCGGATTATAAATGCCACTTGCACTTTGTTTACAATTTAACACCAACAGACGAACGGACATGCATAATTCGATATAGAAAGTGATTCTATTCTTCAACAGACGTACGTACGGACATGGTAAAATTTTATTCCGGTGATGAATATACACTATATAGGTGAAATATTCACAATTTAATATATCTCAATTTAATATATCTTAAGGTTCATCAATAAGATTTTGGGATCGTCGAACTGAAGAACATAGGGTTGTAACGAACATTTATATTTATAATAAATTTGCAAAGTCATTGTGGGTCAACAAGTCTTTTATAAAATTACTTTTTTGGCCTTCCGTTTTAGTCTTCCATTTAAACAGTTTGGTGGATATATTTTACTTCAAATTTCATATGTCATGGTTATTTGATTTGCCTCCCTCCCCCTTTTTGATATATCTTCCATAGAACAATTTCATCCGATTTTGGGTATTTAACATTTCACTTCAAAAGGTTGTTTTTGTACAAATTTTAGTTGTTGTAAAAACACCTTGGCATATAACTTTTGTAAATAAATACAACTTGATTGATAGTTTCGTCAAATATAAATTCCATTTCGGGCAAAAAGTAAATAATTACTTTGATAATTGATTTATTGCGTTTGAATTTCAACCACATTTTTCAAATCAATGTCTTGTGGTATTTTCTAATGTCCATAAGACTCGGCAAAGACTAGTTTATCAAATATTACAAAAAAAATAACTTTTTTTTTGTTTTTTACTACCATTATCGAGGTCGTTCAGTTCAATGCTGAACTATTTAATATTGTTTATTTACTCATGAAATGTATACTCGATTTATGAACCGTGCCAATTTGATTCATTACAAACAAGGCCTATAGGCCTTGATTACAAATTTGTTTAAAAATCAGATATAAAAAATATTTAAATAACTATTTAAAAAAAAAAAACATTTTATTTAACTTGATTTAAAATTATTTTTTTTAGAAGAAACATTAATTTTCTTTAATTGGATCACTTCAGTAAAAACGCGGTAAATCTAATGTTAAAAATAATTAATTTGAAAATTAATAAGACAAAAATAATTTTAGTTTTCTATGGCGATTCCATAATATTAACAATTTCCTTTGGTCCGGGAATAATTGCCATTGAGGAAACCCTTAACCTTTCGCATACATTTTCTGGCAAACTATTTGGAATCTAGATATTGAGAAGAGAAAATAAAAAAAAAAAACAAGTTATATACGAAATATATTATATCGAAATAATTTTATTTCAATTGTTATATTTTTATGAATCTGATATGCCATTGTTGTCTCCACCAGAATGGCTAACATTTATTAATGGATCACTTTGTAACTGCTGTTCCAAATGATCGACTTGTCTTAGTAAATTTCTCACCGATACTTTAGCCAATTGCGAACACAATTCATCAATTCGCTCCACTTTCAATTGTATAACATTTTCCAAGTGCGTAATTTTCTGTTGGGCAGCCAATAAATAGTTATCCTTGGCATGAGATTGTTTGAGAGCTTCCTCATACAATGAGTAGAGAATCATTTTTTGTGGCACCTGTATGAGACCGTCACCAATTCTCTTATTTACAGTAACTGTTATAATTTCATCATTTTCTGCCCATATTCGTTCTTGTTCATTGATTAGCTGATCGTTATTTTTTCGTTGTTCCAACTGTTCTCGAGCTAATAGCATTATATCGTAGAGTAATGATTCTATTGCACCCGGTACGGCTTTGGCAAATTTCTCAATCGAATTTTTATTTTGTTGTAGTCCGATTTTTGTTAGAACTTTGAGGTTTAATGTTTCCCAATTGTTCACTTTTAATTGGGTATTATTGCGAGGTGGATAATTATGCAAATCTATGAGTTTGGGATAGAATTTCTTTAATAGCTGTACAACGAGCAGGCCATCCGAAAAGTCACGATGTAAATTTTTATAGACAATTTCGTGTAATTGCAGCCATTCTTTCAGTTCGCGCAGCTGTTGGTCGTTGAGTTTCTTTGGCATTGTTTTTTTTTTGCTTTTTGGTATTCCAAGTCCTGCGGGGAATTTGTAGTTTATTTTATTTTTCTTCTCTAAATTATGAAAAATATTTTTATAATTATGACAAATTTAAACAATTGTGAAATATTTCAAAAATAAATATTTTTATTGAAGTTATTGTTTTGTTCCCGTTCCGTAATATTTATATAAATATAAACTTACAAACATATATGTATATATATATATATATTTGGGTTTTTTATTGTTTTAAAATTCTTATTAAAATTTCTTTAATTTCTAGGGTTTCTTTGATATCCCTGTGGACAATCTATACGCTGAACCAGCTGTATTGAAATGGATCAAGGAAAACATTCCAGAATGGAAAAACTCAATTATTGTCTCACCCGATGCTGGTGGTGCTAAACGGTAAGTCCAAAAAAACATATCTGTCAAATAGCTTCACAATGTAACGTCCACTTTTAGGTTTATATGCCTTTAACCACACTGTGGTACAGGTTATTATGTCTTTGCGCATATGTTTGCAAAAGGAAACGAGATAGACTCATAGTTCATTTTGAGAATATGCATAGAATCATGTTCGTCTGTCTGTCTGTCCATGTTAAATTGTAAACAAAGTACAGGTCGCATTATTTGACTCCCATATATATTTACGTCCAATTTGAAGTAAATGGTGTACCAAAGTCCCCACATATCTTTCTATTTGTACGAAATTTTGGCATATCGTACTGAATTAAGTCTAGAATGGTGTGTGTTAAGTTTCGTGAAAATCGATTCAGATTTAGATATAGCTCCCATATATATTTTCCAATTTAATGTAAATGATGCACGAAGTTCTTATATCATTCAATTTGTACAAATTTGGCACATCGTACTAAACTAAGTCTCGAATGATGAGTACAAAGTTTCGTGAAAATCGGTTCAGATTTAGATATAGCTCCCATATATATTTACGTCCGATTTCAAGTAAATGGTGTACCAAAGTACCTACATGTCTTTCTATTTGTACGAAATTTGGCGTAGCGTACTGAACTGATTCTAAAATGATGTGTGCTAAGTTTTGTAAAAATCGGTTCAGATTTAGATATAGCTCCCATATATTTATATATATATATATATATATATTCGTCTGATTGTGCACTAAAGACCCAACGTTTGTCCGATTGGCACACAATTTTGTACACCTTTATCATCGCTTTACAACACTATCATAGCTCAAAAACGACATCTAGTGAAAAAATAGGACGGAAAGACCCCACTCAGTGTGCCAATTGAGGGTTAACAACTAAGACAACAAATTATGATTTTCTAATGCCTTTTTTCTCGTTCCCTTTTTCATTTCAGTGTGACCTCCATTGCTGATCGTTTGAACGTTGAATTCGCTTTGATTCACAAAGAACGCAAGAAGGCCAATGAAGTTGCTTCGATGGTGCTTGTTGGTGATGTTAAAGATAAAATTGCTATATTGGTCGATGATATGGCCGATACATGCGGTACAATTGTACATGCTGCCGATCGTTTGGTAGAAGCAGGTGCTACCAAGGTATGTCTCTGTGTTAAATAAATAATTCTTGGGAAACCGGTTTATGGAATATTTTTAAAATACTCGACGTACTCAAAAAGTTTCCTAAATTTTATAAATTTAGGGAATTTTGATCACATACAAAATTCTAGATACTTTTTGAATAGGCCTCGTAAAAAATCAATTAAAATTTGTAAACAAATTTCACTCTATATATTTTTTTTAAACATCTACTGATGTAGATAATTCAGCAAATATCTTCTGTAAACTTATGTGTATTAAAATGTTTTCATCATTTCAGGTTTATGCTATTCTGACACATGGTATCTTCTCGGGACCAGCGATTTCGCGCATAAACAATGCCTGCTTTGAGGCTGTGGTTGTTACAAATACTATTCCTCAAGATGGTCACATGAGAGATTGTCCCAAAATACAGGTATGTTTTCTTTGTTGCAATTATTATAAATATTTTTTTAATAAATTTTCCTTTCTTTTATTTTCTTTGCAGTGCATCGATGTGTCCATGATGTTTGCCGAAGCCGTTAGAAGAACACACAACGGCGAAAGTGTTTCATATCTCTTCTCAAATGTTCCATACTAAGAAATATCATTTTTTATATACAAAATTTGTTTCATTTTTTGAATGATTATATATATTTTTTATTTTAATCACACAATACTTTATATACATTTAAAATACTTCAATATTTTTTTGTTCATACTATTTTCGTACAAAATTTCTTTATATTTTTCTCTCTAAACAATATTTTTTTAAAGGATAACAAAACAAACAATTTTTTGGTCTACCATTTGCCATTGTCGTTAGACGATTATATATATTTTTTTAATTGAAATATTTTTAATTATAAAAAATATGATTTTTTATTAAATGAAAAAATTACTACTTATTTCCTTGTTTTTTTCTTCTTCTTTATAATTAAAAAGTTTTTTATTAAACCATGTAGGATCTTCGGTGAATTCAATTATCCTCTCAACACCAGTAGTCTTTTTCTATACAGCATTACATTAATGTTTTCAATTCTAAATCAAAATGCGTAATTGTTGAAATTATGTTTTTGTTCATTAAAATCAGAGCACATTTTATGAATCGATATTATATACACTAACTATATAAACACTGTATAAGAGATTGAGAAACAAACAAAACAAAAAAATAATTATGCAAAATATTAAAAATATTTTTTTATAAATGTGTATATTTAGAAATGACAAAAGAAAAAACTCTTAACAATACATATAAAATAAAAAACAACCATACATAATCGTGTAGTAGCAGCTAACTCCTCCATAGTCATGTTTTGTCCACAACAATTAAGGAAATGAAAGTGAAGTTTATAAAAACATAGAAATCAACAGCAATGTAATAGCATAAAAGAAAAAAATAATTACCAACAATATTTGTTATAGTTAAGATGTCATTATTAACATTTAGTTCAAGTAAAAATAACTCTATGAAAATACCATTGGAAATAAATACAAAATAGTTAATATAATGAAATAATAAGATAAAAGAAAAAACAAAACAAATGAAATAAATATAAGTAAGAAAAAAACCAAAAATATGGAATTTTTTATTTGAATTTTGTTGCAGTTTGCTGAGAAGATTTTTGGTTTGTTTTCATTAATTAATTATAGGGTTTATTACATTGAGAGCTATATTGCGTTATATTGCAATTTTTAAATCTGTATATGGTTATAGTTCTGGAGAAAAAAATTACCAAACAAAATATATTCGAAAAATACAGTTATATACATAAAATTATAGAAACCGAAGTTATATTAAAATAATGTCTATGTGGACATATTTGTTAAGAGATATATCTTTTAAACCATTTGGAATATTGCTTATCTGTAGCAAATGTGTAGCTATAGACTAGGTTACAAAAGTGTCCAAGGGATTATCATCGAAGAATATCATCTGGACCATTAAAATTGCTGAAAGAAAATTGTAAATAAAAATAAAAAAATATAAAAGAGAACCCTTATCTTTTGGACTATAACTCCTAAAAAATCACTTGTCATTGACAAAGTTGTAGCTACAGCCTATGAGTTGAAAAGTGCAGAAGGAATTATGTCTGAAGAATAACATCTAGACACTTAAAATAGCTAAAAGGAAAGTGTATTAGCAATTTATTTCCTTTTCATTTTATAGAGAAATTAAATGTAACTCTTTTTGTCTATAAATTCCTATTTGAAATATCAATATCTTGTAATTAGCGAATTTGTAGCTATAGTCTAGGAGTTCAAAAGTGCCAAATGGACCAGCACCGAAATATAATTCTATTACCACGGAAAGCATTTCTCTCGAGAGGAAAATCCTCCAATCGTAGAAAATATAGGAGTAAAAATTTTTGAATATTGAATCTTTTTTTAATCAACTGTGGGTCTTTTTCATACTTTGTGTACCCTTATTTGTTTGCGCAAATTTAAAGTGTTTGTGCTGTACGAAATAATTAAAAAGAAATAGTGAATTGAAACCAAAAAATATTATTATACTTAGATCATATTTAGAGGATGTTGCTACTTCTAGGGAGCAACAAAGAACTTCTATAAGATTATAAAGAAGAAAATTGCGAAATAGTTTTCAAATCCTCTTGACTTGCCACAATCATTAGCTGTGCCTGTTTAGTCGATATTTGGTAACAATTGTTACCAAATGTTGTCTGTTTACCCAAAAATCCAGTAAAAGAGAGTCAAGTGAGAGAGCAAGTTTGACAGTTCAACAACAACAAATTTACTGGAGCTTACTGAAAGAATTTTATGCAGTAAGATTTTGCATCAGCTGTTTTATGACCAAACACAAAAATTATTCAAAACATTTTTTTTAATTTGCAAAGTTCAATTTGAAATTAAGTTGTATAGAAATTACAGAAAATGGAAGAAAATTCTTAAGTAATGCAAAGTTCTGCTATTGAATTAATTAATTCACAGTTTATTATTACACTACATAATTTTGTGCCTCTTGATTTAATTTCTATATTTTATCTCCCCAAATTTATAATGTGGCCAGTTATGATTTGCTCCTACTCCTTTATTTCTTCCTTGAAATCATGCACACAATAATTTTGAAGGAACAAAAAATATATAGGGGAGAGGGGGGCATCTTTGAACACTTTTTTCTTTCAAGCTTCATAAAATTTTTTATTTTATAATTTTTGGTTTCTTATAAATTTTAAGTAATAGGTACATATGTCACCTTTACAATGAATATACATATGACATAATTTAAGCTTCATATACATATTTTATTACTGTTTTAATGGACGAAGTCAAAGTGTTCAAAACTGCCCCCCCCAGGGGGGCACCTTTGAACAAGGCTTGATATTTTTGAACGGCATGGTTTTTAACAGTGTTTATGTTCAAATATATATGTATTTTATTCACACATATCTGAAATGCATTTATTTATTAAAAAATATATAGAAAAATTTTCGAAAATTAAAAAATTCAGATCAAAATTTATTAAAACATAAAATGACATAAAAACAGAAAATTATATGGTGAAAAATACAGTTAATTTCGTAGTCTTATTAGCACATTTGAAATTTTGAGAAATCGAAGCCAAAAGTTGAAAACTCCGTTTTTACTCGAGTTTAATATGTATGTTCAAAGGTGCCCCACCCGTGACATTTTACGGAAATTAATAAAAATTTTTTTTGTAATAAATATATATGAAAGAAATTACATTATTTATGTTTGAAATGATAGTTTGAATGCAAAAAATTTGTTTAACGAAAGAAAACTATCACAAAATTCTTCCTGCGCCCTTTCAACCAAACGAGTAAAAGTTTACAATGACACTGCGAAAACATGGTCACCCATGTACAATTTGTCGACAACTGAAAAAGGTAGCCAAAGTGGATTACGCAGATAGGGAACAAGATTGCCATATACAAAAATGTGGTTGCGGGTCGGAAAATTTTTAAACCAAGATTTTATAAGCGCTGTTCAGAGGTGCCCCACGTTCAAAGGTGCCCCCCTCTCCCCTAATTTTTTTTGAAAATTTATTTTTGTTCTTTCATAATTTTTATTTAAGTTTTTCGCTGTTATGCGGCTCATCAGGCAAATTTGGTTTTTCCATAATTTAAAAAATTTTTTCTTGGGAGACAGAGAGATACTCACCCAAAATGACTATATTTCGCATCCAAAATGCATGAAACTCGACATAAATATTCTTTATTACCTTTATACATTCCTTGGCAATATTTGGTTGAGCATGCATCGTTATCAATAGGATTTCCAGTTAAAAATTTGCTTACTATCATTTAAAATATTCTATTTGTGCGAAAAATTTCCCACAAAATTTCATCTCATTCTCCTACTCCCTGTAATCCAAAACAACTAATTTTTCCCCACAGCGGATTTTTTCGCTTTCGAACTTCATTCAGAATAAGGCGAAAGCGAGAATGCGAAAAAATTCACAGGAAAATGTTGTTCAAAATAAGTCGAAGGGGAAGAGCGAGTAAATTCACGTGTAATTGACATCCAGAATAAGGCTGATTAGCTACAAAATATTGCATCTAGTCTCTCAAAATTGCTTGCATTTTAGTGAAAAATGATTTTTTTTCAAAAGGCTATTTTTCCTATTATCTTTTGGATTTATCCATACATCTATTGGACATATATTGCTTGATATGAATGGCGAGTCGAATAAATGTAAAGCTAATAAAGAAAGTAATTATTAAGGGGTTTCGGAATAATGCTTCGTATTTTTTATTGGGAAGTTGTAATTACCCGGCAAAGCGTTCCGCCTTCAATGAAACGGTTATCAATGCACATATACTAATAACATACAAGTACCGACCCAATCAGGGATCCCTCTTTATTTTCAATTATTCCTTTTCATTCGATCGCAAAAAATAATAAACCATTTCAAAAGCCACCAGTAAAGTAAGTAAATCAACTATTTTTTTCCTTTGATCAAAAAAGCATTTTATTCAATCTTTTGTTCTTTTCTTTTCTAAATTTTCAACAAATGTTAACAGTTTATTTTTTTTTTTGTTTCCTACTCAAAACTCAATAATATCTCACATTTAGTTTATGTTTTGTAATCAATCGCAAAAAATAATGTTCAAAAGCCACCAGTAAAGTAAGTAAATCAACTATTTTTTTCCTTTGATCAAAAAAGCATTTTATTCAATCTTTTGTTCTTTTCTTTTCTAAATTTTCAACAAATGTTAACAGTTTATCTTTTTTTATTCCCTACTCAAAACTCAATAATATCTCACATTTAGTTTATGTTTTGTAATAGCCCTAATGCGAATGTTGTAATTAAATTAGTATTTTTTTGTTGTTAAAAAAATATGAAAATATGTATGTAACTAATAGAATGCAATAATAATGTTATTAGTAATAGTTAGGATAATACAAGGACATTTCGATAGCATGCTTGTCCGTCCACAGTATTCAACAGTGTTGATCAGTATTCGTAATCATTGCCCTCGCCACCCTGTTCGGCATCATCGGTACCGACTTCTTCGAAATCTCGTTCCAATGCCGCCAAGTCTTCTCGCGCTTCGGTGAACTCACCCTCCTCCATACCCTCGCCCACATACCAATGGACAAAGGCACGCTTTTTGAACATCAAGTCGAATTTGTAGCAGAGATTACTGAAGGCCACAGCTATGGCCGTTGTATTCGATAACATACAGACGGCTCGGTTTGTTGGCGCCAAATCACCATCGGGTACAAAGGCGGGTTTCTCGTAATTGATGCCGATCTTAAAACCGGTAGGACACCAGTCGACAAATTGAATGTGTCGTTTCGATTTGATGGCCGAGACGGCTGCATTGACATCCTTGGGCACCACATCGCCACGGTACAACATGCAACAGGCCATGTATTTGCCAGCGCGTGGATCACATTTCACCATCATGTTACCGGATTCGAAGCAGGCATTTGTTAGCGAGGTAATGGCATGCTGTTCATGCGAAGCTCTAGAGGCCGACATTAGAGGGGCATACGCCACCAATGGGAAATGTATACGTGGGAAAGGTACCAAATTCGTTTGGAACTCATTCAGATCGACATTCATGGAACCGCTGAAACGTAACGAGGCCGTTGTAGAGCTCACAATCTGGGCAATTAAACGATTTAAGTTTCGATAGTCTGGACGATCTACATTCAGACTATTTTTACAGATTTCATAGATAGCCTCATTGTCGACCATAAATACACAATCGGAATGTTCCAACGTGGAGTGAGTGGTCAACAAGGCATTATAGGGTTCTACAACAGCTGTAGACACCTTCGGTGATGGATAGACAGCAAAGTCTAATTTACATTTCTTGCTAAACTCCATTGACAGTCGTTCCATGAGCAGCGAAGTAAAACCGGAACCTGTACCACCACCCAAGCTGTGAAATATCAAGAAACCCTGTAGGCCGTCGCACTGTTCGGCTATCTTTTGAATGCGTGTTGTGACATTATCGATAACTTCCTTGCCAATCGAATAGTGACCACGAGCATAATTATTGGCTGCATCCTCTTTACCCGAAATCAATTGTTCCGGATGATAGAGACCACGCATCGGACCATTGCGTACATCATCGATGACGGTCGGTTCTAAATCCACAAATATCGATCGGGGTACTTGTTTGCCCGAACCAGTTTCTGAGAAAAAGGTACGCGCATCATTGGTGCAGTTGGATTGTCCTTCAGATCCCACAACACCAGCTGAACAGCCACTGGCTAGCATTTCTTCTTTGGTTTTGGCGGTGCCATCACGATTTATACCATGCTCGAGTAGATACAATTCCCAACAGGCATTGCCAATTTGAATGCCACCCTGACCGATTTGAATGGAAATTACCTCACGCTAGAAAGAAAGTGAATAAAGGGAAAAAATAGGTAATGAATCAAGTATATAAGAAATTTGTAAATGTCGTTAAAAACCTTTTTCAAATGTTATTCAAAACACTACAAGTTCAATTCGAGAATTTCATTTGTAATTTGAAAACCGAATTTGCAATTCATAACATTTCTCTTGTAATTCATGAATGTAATTGGTAATTTGCAAAACATTTAATTTACAAGCATTTTAAACGTTTCATATCAAATTCAAAAAAATCAATTTGAAATTTAAAGAATTCCTTTGTAATTCGTATATTCAAGGAATTTGCATTCATCGATCCATAAATGACAATTGGTTGGATTTTCGATAATAAAGGAAAAATTGACATTCTTGTAGGTTCTGGAACAGACATACTATTGCCAGACGGACATATTTTTTTATTTTTTTTTTATTTTTCTGTTTGGAGTATGTGATGTGTCTGATGAAAAAAAGATATACCTAAAAATATCTTAATTAGTACTAAAAGTGTACTAAGAATATATCATCGAGTTAATTACATATATGATGTTCATTTTTTAATTAAATTTTACACAGTAGCAATAATACGACAAATCGAAACAATCTAGATCGACATGACTATTTTTTATTAGTATTAATACAATAATAATATGTATTTATTTCAGACACCGGTTTTTATTTCTTCATATAAAAACAAAAAAGTTCATTGTTCTAAAATGATGAGCTGAGTATTCACAGTTACTGCTGGCAATCGGAGAATTGTTAAATGCAAAACATGCAGCTGGCAGGCAGCAGATTCTTGTGGCTTTAATGCAGTTTAAATTTAAAACTTGTTTTTCCCCACTTTGTCTTTTGTCAAGATCTTTGCTGTTCAATAATAAGAAACACATTTTGCAAGGGTTTCTTTTAATTTAAAAAATGTTCACATTCTCTCTTTACTTTATTTTAAATATTTTTTTTTTATATTAAATTTATTATAACCTCAAATGTCCTTTAGGTTCAATGTCGCCTTTTTAAATGCATGGAAATCATTTCGGATTAACACTTTCTTTCTACTTACCATGATTTATTATTTATTTTTCTTTAAATCCTTCAAAAAATATTCAAATAAAATTTCAATTTTCTCCAAGGATTCAACAGTTCCACTTAATTTGTTTCTTTTCAATTATTTTTTTTTTTTGTGCGAGGATAATTTTCCACACGCTGGCTTTAGTTATTGGCAAAATGAAGAGGAAAAAAAGAAGAAAAGGAAAAAAGGTATTTTTTGCAATGACCGTGCGTCGTGTGTCGTCGTATGTAGATCAGCACCGAACAGCAGCAATGGTGGTTGGTTGATTGTTGGACAATGACAACTGCAAAACTGTGCGCGCAATATTTGTTGGTATGGATCGTCATAAGACGAAGATTTAGTACACGACGATCTTGTTTGCCTTTTTCCTTTCTCTTAAGCCTTTGTTGTTCTATTTGCCTAGTACTAAAAAGTCCTGTTATATTCGAATTCCTTTTGTGCCTATCGGGAGTTGTTTGCTTCCATATCATTTGTGTGTGTTCTATTACAATTACGCGCCATCATAATGCAATTGTCAAAAATATCATTGCCAGTCAATAGTATTGTTATTTTTCTTTAAATGACATTTTTTATTTATTTTTATGAATATTCAATTTATAAATAGGGTACAATCGTTTTTTTTTATTAAATAATACTTAGGAATAATACCATGGATTGATTTGTGCAATTGAATGTTATTACAAGGTTATTCTATATTATTCTTTTTATATATTTTTTTATTTATTTTTTAATTTCTTTTATTTAAATCTACAGCATTTTCAGTTAACTGGATTTTACATTTTCAAACCTTATTCATAAATCAAGAGGAAATAGATATTATTCTGAACTAATTATATTTTTGGTCTGTTCCCGTACTGCAAGAATCTACTAATTTTTACTACGATAACATTTTTCCTTTGTGATATCGAACAAAATAGTAAAAACTAGTAGATTCTTGCAATACGGGAACATACCATTTGTTTTATTTTAAAAACACATGTTTTATTGAAAAATAATACCATAAAAGTCAAAACTGAACAGTGCGGAAACCTATATTACTAATACTTCATACCGAATACTATCGTTATTATATGAAAATTGTGATTTCGATGTGCCTTATAATATGAAATTTAATTCAATAAAATTGTCTGTTTTAACTATACATGACAGAACGGAAGAATAACAGCTAAAATGGTAGTGGGAGAGAATTTTAATTTAGAGGCTATGTGAAAACATAAACCTAAGCATATTTAAAATATCATTTGAAGAAGTTTTTGTACCCATAATGCTACATTACAGCCACTTCGGTTGAAAAATACAATTAGGACCACCCAAATATCTAAAATGGGCCGGGCTTTTATAATACCAAATTATAATATTCTCTATCGTGATTTCAAAAGGCAGGACATGATTCGTTATCATTTAACATTAAAACATAAGATGACTTACAAAATAAATAATACTGAGATTGTGAAATTTTAATTTCGGATAAATATAAATAATAATTACAAATTTTAATAATTTTCTTACATAGAAAAAATGCATTAATATTGATTGACATATGGTATGGTTATAAAGCCTTTTAAAGCAAATTGCAAATTGCACATTTATGTATGTAAAAGATAATACTTATTTGGTACAATAAAGTTGAATGACGAATATTCAATATTCTCACCAAATTGTATACTATTGGCATAATAATTCGTAGCTAATTATATATAAGATTATTGGTATGACTAAATTCAATAAGAATTAAGATTTAGATGCAACACAATTTTGTGAAATATTAAAAATTTATTTTTGATATATTCCCAAATCTGCAAACGATGGAAAATATAGTATCAGCGTTTAATTTTTTCTGAGCCCGTTTTTTTAAACAAAAATTGGCAATTAATTTAATTCAAAAGATTATTAATCGCGCGTTATTTATTATTAATTATCAAATCAAAGAAATTGCAGCAGAAGTTTGTTGGCCTCTTATTCACAATTTACTTCAATTTCCTAATGGGAAAATGTGAAGCAGCAAATCCCTTTGCAATGAAAAAATCCTATATTGGAGGAATTTTTTGCGTGTTTGTAGAATTATAAATTTGCAACACAATTTTGTGAAATATTTTCATTCATGTTTTTCAAATTTATTCTGAAATTGAAAAACAAAACATATTTTGAAAATAAATAAAATTTATTGATATTTTGCATTTTTGTTTACATTTTTCGATATATCAGACTGACAGTATCCATTTTCTATGTTGTTGTTGTTGAATTGTATTTGTTGTATAATTATTGCTCTGTTCCAGTACTTTTTAATATTTAATCTAGTAAAAGGGAAACATTTCAAATTCGCTCTCAGAGTACAAAATAATTTGAAATGTTCTGGAACGGAAAACTAGTAAAAATGCCAAAATTAGATGGCAATATTTCAAAATCAACACAACAACCAATCAGAAATAGGGCAAATTTCTCGAGTAAAAAGTTTACAAAGAGAAAGCCATTTTGTTTTCTGTTCTCCTAAATTTGGTTGAACATTTTACTAGTTTTGTGGGTTCAGGAACGGGTTTTGAGTAAAAAAAATTGGAAAACTTGAAAAATTAGTAGAATCTTTTAGGTTCTGGAACGGAACTTGTACCATGACTATACAATATACAACTTTGTTTACAATATGCATTAAAATAATCTAAAAAAAAACTTAATCACCATGAGAAAATCATCAATCAAAAATATATAAAAATGTCAACTTTTTATTGACACTCTGACCAAACTTAGCAATATTATAATAATAAAAAATGTTGCGGTAAAAATTATAGCTTCTGTATTTGAAAATGTGGTCATCGAGCGAAAGTTCAATGATCTATCTTTATGGGAAATCAACATCGAGTTCGAAATATTAAAGGCAGAGACAGATGTGCATAACAACAATTGATTTTACTATTTTGTTTGTCGATTCATTACTTTTTGCATTACAACTGGGTTCTAGCTAAAATATGGTCGTAGTAAGACACCTATATTATACAAAATTTGTATTCGTAAATGAATGAAGAATCCACTAAAAATGAAGAATCCAAGTACTCAATCCCTATATGCAATTTATTGGATTGAATTCTTGGAAAATTCTTCATTTCATTACTTTATGCATTACCAGTAACTACTGAATTTATATTCCTATATCCCTATCAACAAATGAAGTCAATAGTCTAATTTGTGTGCCATTTTGGGTATAAAGGACAACTGGCTTCCAAATGAAATATGGTCGTAGTAATACACCTACAGTACGCAAAATTCATATACGTACATCCACTGAAAATTACGAATTTTCGAAATATTTAATGCAACAAGCAGATTTTTCAAAATTTCATATAGATTCATAATTTTTATGGAAGAAAAACAAACTTATGTATAGTAAATTCATTACTCAGGCTTTCGATCGCGATGTTTTCATATTATATTATACGTACTGAAAAACAAGATTAAAAAATAAAGGTAGATATGTTGGATATAATTTCACATAGACGCATTTTTCTACGTTTCTACATTTTACAATTTGAAGCAAGTATTAACTTTTACACACATGTTCGTAATACCATTCAATATTTGGCAAATCCGGTAGATCAGTGGGTTTAAATTGTCAATTTCTTTGACTATATTTCGCATATATACAAAGAATGGCAATGACATTCATTAATCCTCATAAAGCAGGTTAATGTAAAGAACAACAATTCGTTTTTGCTTATTAACGCCGCTAATGATTTTCTGACAGTATATCGACATTAAATCTGATGTTATTTCTCATTGTTTGAGATGTACAAAGAAATACAAAGGCCCTTTGTAAACATTCAGCCAGTTGTACGTCACTTACAGAAGGATCGATGCGAATTTGAAGACGTAGAAATGAACAATGTCTTCATGAGAACTTGAAATATTTAAAATTTCGTACTGATTTTTTCAATTTGACACTTTTTTGTAACTTTATATGACATAATGTATTGTTAAGATACTGCGCTCCAATATTTTTACAATATCCCAGATCTACTAAAAATGTTCGTTGTCGTCTGAAACCTAACTTGATTTTCTAACCATATCGAGTTTCCCGAACTATTTTGTAAAAGTTGCACTGAATTTGATATATGTATTTTGATAAAGCAGTGCTCAAGGTTTATTCATAAGGTTAACAGGGTGGCGAATTCATACCTTAGTCTTCTCTTGCTGTCAACATTTTAAAGTTACACTGAATTTGATATTTGTATTTTGATAAAGCATTGCTTTATTTTGGTTCGAATAAAAATATTTGATGGTTATTTATTCTTCAAACAATAAATTTGACAGTCACTGAGGACTTCGAATTCGCCACCCTGTTAACCTTATGAATAAACCTTCGCAGTGCTCAACAATAAACAAAAATAAAATTTTGTTCACATCGACTGTTAATTACAACAATAACATAGCCTTGTCATCTGTAGGAATACGGGTTTTGTTAGCAATACAACGCAAACAGCGCCATCTAGCTTTTGATTCACGGTGTTGTTTTTGTTTTTCATAAAAAAATAACTTAAATACATTTTTGGATTTTTACACGACGTACCTTGAATTATTAATAAAGTATACCTACTTCGTTTGGAAAACATTATCAAACTACTATTGAACATGTTCTACGTGCAGTCTTCTAACTGAAATTCATATATAAGAAATTATAGGCAATACATTGGAATATATAGGTACGGGAAAATATCGCTACATAATTATTTGAAATATTTCATGCTGAGATTACTTGGGCATAGCTTGAATTTTACTGGTCCCACCAAAAGTTGTTCGGAAAGATAATTTCTATAATTTTAAAGTAAATTGTGTTCGCAGTAATCACCCCTTTTAAAAAAAAAACTTTGAGAACATTTTGGGAATTAGGAAATATTCCCAAAATGTTCTATAATAGTGGTAACTATACCTATGTATCTATAATCAAACTTAATAAATATTTAAAATAAAATAAATTATTAAAAAATAACTTTATTTGTTAATAAAAAATAATAAAATTGTATATATATAATCATGTATAAAAACTAAAAAAAATCAATATTATCTACAATTATAAAGTTAAAAATAAATATTTGTATATACAAAAAATATATACACAAATTACAAAAAGTAAAAATAAAACAAATAAAAACTGAACTAGAAAACACACATTTTGTTCGACTGAAATTATATTCGCTATTATGTCAATTCTCTCACACTCTTCTCAATTTAAATTCTCTGTCTAAACTAATTTCTAATCTTCCTTACGCATACCCGGTGGTAGTGTCACATCAAAAACAATTGGCGGATTATTGGGCAAGTAGTTAATATCACACGTTGAAGCATTAACATAAATTATACGACCATCAGAGGTAATGCCGTAACCTTCATGTATATGGCCAAAAACATGATACTTTGGTTTAACTCGTTTCTGGATGGTTGTCAGCAATTCTACGCAACCGGCTCGTACACCTGAACAGCATAGATCACCATGGCCGACAGGGGGTGTATGTGTTATAAGAATATCTATATCAGCTGGTATTTTATTCCATTTTTCTAGGCACGGTAGACCACGCGGTACATTGAAAGCCCATTTACAAAATTCCGGTTGCCATGGACTACCATAGATGCGTATACCCCATATCTCGAGTAATTCATCTTCTATATATGTACAGTTGGTGAGAACTTCACGAATATTTGGTGTTTTTACAGCATCGGCAATATCTTCTTTGTTATTACCCAGGGTGGGCAGGTCATCGAGTATCGACATGCCTGTGTGTTTTGTTCTGTAAGAAAGGAGAAAAAAGAACATGAAATAAATTTATAATCTAATAAATAATAATTAGTTGTGGGTAGACCACAATTAATTATTGAAGATATTGATTACACATGTCACATATAGTAACTAAGACCACATAATCTATTTCCAATTTACCAATGACTTACCTCTCTGAGTTGTTCTTATTTTGAAATGGATGGGTGAATGTTGAATCAAAACTTAATTCATGGTTTCCTGCAATTACAATTTTATGCTTATGCGGTAGTGTACCAATCCATTGATTGAATTCCACCACCTCATCTATGTGGCCACATTTGGTAAAATCCCCCGCATGAATAAAAATATCACCATCGGGAATATCAAATTTCATATAGGGGGTCAGAGAATGGGTATCGCTCATACACACGACGCGTGCTTTGTTAAACGCCACACCAGTCTGTGGGGGTTTCATGGTCACTTTTATGACACGTTGAGTTTTGGAAATTTCTTTCCATGCTAAGGTGGGATTATGGGTTAGGGGATGAACGGCTATCTCCATTATGATTCTGGATTTGGAAAAGATAGATTTCAGTATTTAATTCTGTCAGAAAAAATTATGTAAACAAACCCTTTTTAGATCCTTCTTTCTTTGGTTTTGTGTGGTCCTTCCTCGAATATTGATATGGAGAGTATCCAGTGCAAATATTTCAAATGCCCTTTGTCAACTTCTATGACGCCGTTTCAAGTGTTCTACATCAATTGTTCATTGTTTATTAAATATAGTAGTATATTGATTAGAATTGAAAATTAATTGATTAGATTCTTGTGAAAATGTGTTTTTATAGAAGTTTTGCAAATTATTGAATGAATGACGTAGTTGTGGTTATCAACAATTATCGATATAAATTAACGTAAACGTATGGTAAACGTAAAGGTGTGGAAGAGTGTTTTTCTGATTGGCAACTGAAAGGATTTTTTTATAGTTAGGGGCCTGTTCTATCAAAGTCAATTTTTCAATACAGCTTTATACATGTAAATAAAGTTCCCGCCCAATTATTTTATTTATATTTCATCTTGCATAGTTTTCGACCTTAAAACGGCATATTATTTGACATATATGCAAAGGAATTGGCACTTGAATAACAAATATTTTATTTTACAAGAGCGAAATATATAGATATGTATGTAAAATATATACATATGTGCGTTAAAAAGGTTTTATTAATTGGATTCTGACTACTCCAGCATTTTAAAAATTGTAGCCGGACTTTTCTAGTGGAAGGTGCCGAAATTTGACACTACGGAGTCTTGGAATGTGGATTATATATTTTGGTCTGTTCCCGTACTGCAAGAATAAACTAGATAAAGGAAAATTAGTCATCGAAGTAAAAAGTAGTAGATTCTTGCATTTCAGGGAGAGACCAAAAGTGTGCACTTAAATGCGGGACATTTCGACATTTTCTTGGATTAAAACATATTTACGGAAATTTTTTTGCATTGTTATTATTTGAATGATCGTGGGAGGTGTTCCGTTTTCTCAGTGGAAGACAATTAACAAAGAAACTATTGATTTTTACTACGATAACTAAATATCCTTTGTGATATCGAAGAAAATAGTAAACCCATATAGGGGTCATGCTGAATATTGATATTTTTAATGAAGGGGGTGTAAAAATCCGACTCGGCCTCGTTCAACTACATTTTCACATGTTTTATCTCAAAATATCCTACCTTAATGCTGTTCTAACAGGTTGGCACGAATCGAATGTTCTTTCCTGGACAAATCATGGTACAATTATACAAGGCAGGGCAGCTTGAGTAGAATAAAAAAAATAACAACTATGTAGGTGGTGGCTTCTCCTGCCAAATATAAAATAAGTATACGCAACAAGTCAGTTGGTAGCTGCGCCCTACCTTGTAATAATTATACCATGGGGCAAATATGAAAGATACCGGCTGGGTTGGTTCGTATGGAGACTTGAACACATGATTTGTGTCATGGCGACCAATGCCTAATAATAAGATAATCCAGGGAGAACAGTTGCATATCAGCTGCCTATCAAGTTTGCTGCCAAACCCATTATTGTGAATTGACTTCCGTTATAAAAACGAAAACAATGTCCAAATTTTACACATAAGACTTGAGAAAAAAAGAGGTTACTTTCTTTTGCTGGGTGACCTTATTAATAGATCTTGATGGGACTTCGAATGCCAGCAGGGTATCTGTTTGGGATAAGGTTTATCATATCAGTGACTTGCAGGAGAATATTCGTTTTGGACTTTATTTAATCTGTAGACTTTTATGGCTTCGGAGTCCGCCCGTCGATACACAGATATCATGAAGTTCACTATCGATGATCTGTTGATGTAAGTGAACAACGGACGGTGGTGGTAGATGGCACGACAGATGACATGCTAACAAAAATCTACTAATTTTTACTATATTCTTCGATATCATAAAGATTATTAATGTAGTAAAAACATTTACATTCTTGCAGGCTCTGGAACAGACCAAGAAACTTTTGTTTAAACACATTTGCTCTATTTCATAACCTACAAAAATCGTCTGTTATTCGATATAATAATTTAAATAGTTGCATACCTCTCTTAGCATATTCATTGTCTCAAAGAAAAGGGCGAGTCAGGACCATTATCTCTGAGATAAGGGCTTGTCAGGATTATTTTCTCCAAGATAAGTCCTTTATTTATCTGTTGACGTCCTATAAGATGGCGTCAAAAATGCCAGATGTAACTGAAGTGCGGACGAGGTGGTTGGGATGGCACGGTAGATAACATGCTAACATAAACTTTTTTGAAATAAACCTACCAGAATCTTCTGTTCAACGAAATTGTCTAGGTTTACACATTGAAATCGTTTTACTACTATTTTATGAAAATAATTGTTAAGATACGGTCAGTCAGAGGCATTACTCAAAGATAAGGGCTAGTCATGAACATTATTGGTCTGTTCCCGTACTGCTAGAATCTACTAGATTTTACTATTTTCTTCGATATCATAAAGGAAAATTCCTAATCGTAGAAAAAGTAGTAGATTCATGCAGTACGGGAACAGACCATATGTCTGTTCCCGTATTGCAAGAATATACTACTTTTTTTACTATGATAACACTTTTTTCCTTTATGATATCGGAAAAAATAATAACTCGAAGATCCCTGCAGTACAGGAACAGACCATATATATCTGAGAAAAGGGCCTGTCAGAACTATTTTATATAAGTCCCAGTAAACACCATTAAGGGCTAAGCAGAACGCTCGCCATTATTTCAAAGAAAAAGGACCAGTCAATATCATCAACTCATATATCAGAGGTCCATCAGGACCATTGTCTCAGAGAGAAGGGGAAATTCCAATTTTTGAGATATGTTAATGCAGTTGTGAGTGCAATTGCCATTTGTTTCAATTAATTTTAAAATAGTCGAATGTAAACATTGTCTCAATGTATACCGTTTGATTAATTCCACTGGCGTTATCGATAAAACGATAACATAATAACGATGTCCTCTAAACAAAAACATATGTTTTTTGTTGTTTAAATAAGAGAGAGAGCAATGTGGAGAGAATGTAAACAAAAATATTTGACCCGAAAACACTAAAAAACATTCTTAATCAATTAATTATTTAAAAATTAGATAACATAATATTCATTTTAAATATCAGTGAATACATTAAACATCTTAGTTTATTTCAAGATTTTAAAATTGCCGGTTTATTTTTTTGTAAACAAACTTTGTTTACGTCTCTCTTTCTCTAAGGTAAACAACATAAAAAACACATTCTCTCACATTTAACAGCTGTTCACAACGAAATTGACAACTGACCAGAATGTCAAAATATTGCAAAAAAAAGTTAAGATGGCTACAAATTAGTCGATTGGTGTGTAGTATGAGAAAACAATGAAATAAAAGAAGGAAAACACGAAAGAAAATATCGAAGAATTTTTAATATAATTAAAAAAAAAAACGAGTGAATTTTATAAACAAAAGAATTATTAACGAAAACAAAGTTATCGAATTTGTGAATTAAACGCTTACAGATTAAACGAAACTGGAGAACATGGACAATTTAGACATTGCTGACGAGCAGACAGAAGAAAAAAATGGTAAGTGGCTTCTGGGCTGCTGGTTATCGGAAAACCGAACAACAATTATGGGTTTTGTTTGGAAATATCAATAGTTATGTGAAATAACACACAGCGGATATTCCCTATTTCGACTTCAGGTATTTATATCATTATTTAGATTGGAGAATATCGACAGTCTAGTTGGGTCCATAGGAATGGGGCGTTGCTATTGTAGGTATTGCATTGCTGGTTTCCATTGGCAATGTCTGTTGGGTTCTAGTTTTGTTTTCTTCACCAATAGAATGCCAAATCTACACATAAATTGCATTGACCTCTTTTCCTATTTGTTTTTATAATAATCTACTTAAATGCTACTCCCTCAGCCTATTCTGTTGGAGATTTCCTTTTTATTGCATTTTCTTTGTCATTTTTAATTTAATTGCCAAATGGGAATAATAATAAAGTCAAGCCTACTTGTAAAAGCTTTACTTGGAATTCTTCTTGATGTGCTTAAATGCATTTGTATTGGTGGTGGTTGATGGTTCTTCCGAAGCCATGATTCATTTGTAACACATTAATTTTTTGTGCCGCGGCATTGACAAGCGGCAAATGTAAACAAAAAGAAAAGAAGTGGGGAAGTATTCCTATATGCGATTTATTTTTTTTCTTATTAGAAATTTTTAAACGTATTCTTTATCTTCTATGTAGACAATTCTTCAAACTGCAACAAATATGAATAAATCAAGAAAATTTGCGTGAAATTCGGTCGGTCCGGACCGCCATCTATGTAGACAATTTTTATTTAATATATATCTGCAGCAAATATGAATAAAACAAGAAAATTTGCGTGACATTCGGTCGGTCCGGACCGCCAGAAATACAAAACGCCAAATTCCAGCCACCTTAGTGCAGATAAAACTTCAAAATATAGAAAAATGGTAGCACATTTGACCGATAAGAAAATACGACCATAACTTACTTATGAGTAATAATATCGAAAATAGGGATGTACCCTTATGTTGAGATTTGCAATTTTCTGTAAAGAGGTTTCCCCTCAATCCAAGAATCAGAAAGCCAAACTACAATAACTTCGGTGGTTTCCGTTAATCATAGCAGTGACTTGCAGGAGTATTTTGTGGGGGAGGAGGTGGTAGATAACATTCTAGCAGTAACTCTTTTTTTTTTAATAAACATTTGCTCAGTTCCATAACCTACAGGACTCTTCTGTTAATTTAAATTGTTTTCCCTTTTGCACATTTAAATAGTTTTAAAATGACAATAATTTCCAAGACAATAATTTCCAATTTATGACAATAATTTCCAAGATAAGGACCAGCCCGACGCTGATTATTTCAAGAAAAAGGGCGAGAAACGACCACTATTTTTGAGATAATGGCTAGTCAGCAGAATTTTCAGCATGATAAGTCCCAGTCAGTCCTGGCCAGGCCAGGACCATTATCGCCGAGTAACGGAAACATACCAATTTTTGACAT